CCAAGAACGGCTGCCGCACTGGCACGGCGCCCACCTGGTGATACTCGCGCGCGCGCGAGTCCGGCCAGCCTGCGGCCCAGCGCTGCCGTCCTCCAGCGCCACCTACTGCGCCGCGGGTGCGGGAGCTCCCCTCTTCCTCTTCCTCCTCCTCCTCCTCCTCCTCCTCCTCCTTATTATTATCATTACACTGGCCCTTTCGCGCTCCTCCTCCCTCCTCCCTCCCTCCTCCACCTCTCTCGTTCCTCCCCCCTAGTCCTGCGCCTCCACATGGCGACTGTCATGCATTAGGTAACGATGCAGCGGACAAAGTAGCCAAGCGAGTCGCAGCAACCCTTTGTCAGCCATCCCAGTCGGAGCTGGAGCAGAGAAGTTTCGACCAAAGCATGCTGCGACGTTTCCTGTTCTATGTGGCTCGGGTCCTCCCTAAGTGGCCAGCGCTGGCCACGAAAGCGGGTGAGAAGTCCCTGAGCCGCCCAGTTAGTAAGAACCCGCCCATCGGAACCGCCTCGGCAGAACATGCCTGGGACCCTGGGGCCATCCCCCCTCCTCTGAGGCCTCCTCGCCTCCACCCCTCCGAGCCCCCAGGGCCCTACCCGAGCTCCACCGTTGGGAATCTGTCCGCGGCACGTTAATTTGCACCCTCTGCCGAGTCAGGGCCAAGACCCAGGACCAGTATCTCAAGCGTTTCGACGAAAAATGTCCAGGTCATTTTTCTGGCCTAGCCTCGCTTGCATAAAGCCCCAGGGGACACCAACTTTGGATTTTCGAGTACCTGCACAATTCAAGCACGATGATTATTAGTCGCTCCTGCGGGTCCTATTCGGAAACGGGTACCCGCGGCCGTTTGTTTCAAGTGTGCCCGCGGGAACCGTCGTCGAACAACGCAAGAAGCCAGTTAGCCCGCGCTCTGGAGCTAAGACACCCGAGGAGTGGAAGGGAATCCGCCCCTGTTTTTTTCGCCTCCAGAGCCACTCGAGCAATTTTATCGAAGAGCCATCGAAGCTGCGAGACAGCTGCCCAGCGAGGCAGATCAATCCCAGGCGCAGGCAGGCCCACACCAGGGATAAGGCTTGCCCATCGTCCTGGCGTTCTTTACACCAGGGGTGGGCCTTGCCGAGTCGTCCTGGCGTCGCCTCATTCTCAGTGTACATGTGCGAGTGTGCGAGCGCGATACCCGCACGCGTGTCAGGCACCCCGACTCAGGGGGAAGGAGCGCTCACTTAGTTTTCCTGCGGCACAGGCCGCAGACACGCCTTGGCGCGATGCAGGTTCGATCTGGGGTTTTGTTTTCTCGCTCCGTCTGGCGGTGCTGGTTACGCAGCCAGCCCTAGTACCCGAGCTTTGGGGTACCGCCAGCCAGACGAGGCATGCCGTCCTTTTCGCTGCAGAGTGCTGTTTTGGCGCCCTACTGAGTGCTGTGTGTGTGTGTGTGTGTGTGTGCGCGTGCGTGTGTCCTGCACGCGTGTCAGACACCCCGCCTCAGGGGGACGGAACGCTGCACACCTTCTTCTCTCCTGAATTGACGGTGCTGGTTACGCTGCCAGCCACAGAACCCGAGCTTTGGGGCTCCGTCAACCAGGAGGCATCCCACGAGGGCCCCTGAGTACGGGGGTGGACTTGGGTTGCCAGTCCGCCCCGACAATGGCTCAGCCCCACTTCCCCACCCCCACGTCCGTGGTAGGTGGCGTTTCGGTGCTGCTGTGGCCTGGAATGCAAAGCCACCTCAGGCCCCAGCACCGCATTCAGCGTCGGCAGCGCACTGCCGTCTCAGCGGCACCAGTGGCCGCTGTGGAGTACAACAGGTGGCCCAGTGCCACGAGGTTTCGGGTTAGGGTCGGGTCGGCCAACCCCTAGCCTCCCCATTAGCCAGGTGATGGTCCTCCTCCCGCTGTCCCCCCTTCCTGCTCTACCTCCTCCTCCTCCTCCTCCTCCCTCCTCCTTCTCCCCTTCTCCTTCTGTACGTGTGAAACTGCGTGCGGATCGTAAGTATGCTGTTTCAGAGAATCCAGCACGCGGAGTAGCCGACAAAGCGGAGGGCATGAGGGGCGGGGAGGGTAAGGAAGAGGACACATAAGGGATGAGGAATAGCAACTTATTCACTGCGCTCACTAGACTTCTGAAGAAGCGTGGTAGAAGATACGGTCAGAACTGTTTGCGGATGACGCCCGAACACAAGTCTCTCCCGAGCGCAACAAATGCTCCCGATATGGCGAGGACATAAAGAGGCCATGAATCGTGCTAGACAAGAAACTTGAATACACGTGATATTCCGGAATAGCCCTAAGCGAATCAGACCCGACTGTAGGAACCTCTGGCAAGACGGGGCAGGACAAACCTCACAGAGTGGGCGTTGGAAGAAGGGGGGGGACTTCAGCGGCGTCTCCGTCGGCAGAAGTGGAAAAGGCACCGTCTGCCTTTAAAACAGCCGGAGCACTACGTCACAGCTTACCTGTGGCACATGCACGTTCGGACCACGATCGCCGCGCTTCAAGGGCGGATTGTCTTCTCGCTTGTCCGCTGGGCCCTGAACCCAGGCGGGAGCGCCGTTTGAGAGAACCGCGCCTCTCCAACGCGTGGCTGGAAAGCGCAGTGCCTCCACGGCGGTACCTCCGCGCCCCGCTCTTTCGCGCTCGATCCTTCCAGGGACGGCTCGCTCTTCAGCCTGACCGCTGCCTCGCGCCGCGCCAGCTCCCTCCTCCAGCACGGCGCGGACGCGGTGAAGCGTGCTCGGGTCCATACTTCTCCCCCCTCGGCGTCCCTCGGCTCCGCCCTCCCGCGGCTCGTTCGCGAAGCCTTCCTCCTGGCCGCCTGCCCACGAGTCATCCCTCGCGACGCCACCCCCTTGGCGGCGCGCCCAAGGGGGTAGGGAGATTGGGGAAAGCTTCTTCGAAGGAGGCTGCTTCTTAGAAGGCGCTGGCCCTGCATCTATAGATCAGGCCCGCGCCCTCTAAGAAGCAGGGGTACTTCGAAGAAGCCCTGCCCCCTCCCCCTCCCCCACGAGGCCGCCTGCGGGTGCGGGGCTGGCGGCGGATGCACGCTCACCGTGCCTGCCTCGCCTCCCCGTGCCGCCTGGCCACCTCCGTCCCTGGCCCCAATCGCCGACGCGCGGCCGCCGCGGAAGCCGCTCCCGTCGCCTCCTGCTGTCCACGTTGCAGTAATGTGAGATGAAGTCCAATTTGTGTTCAGGAGGGGCTCGGTGGTTCCGCGAATCTGCGAGCGTTCCCTCGCAGTTTTACTAGGGAGCCCCCTCGGCATTCCTTGGGAGGGGAGGCGCCACTTGCAACACGAGAGGCAACCACGAGAAAACGCCTACAGAAAGGACCTGGACCGATCCTTGGCCATTGATGACTTGATTTTTGTTTGAAGGGGCTTCGTTCCTTGTTTAGCGTTCCTTGTGGCAACGTCATGACTGTACTCCTCGATGCACGTGCGTCATCCGTGGCGCTCTTGCTGGTCACGCGTCGTCGTTGTGGTCGTCGTTGTCGTCGTCGTCGTCGCTGCACGGCCGTCGTCGCCGCCGTCGCAGTCGTGATCTTCCTCCGTCTTCGCCGTTGCCGCCTGCACCATCGGCCACGTGTAGTTCCAGACGATGGGGTACCTCCGGAGGAAAAACAAACGACGTGAGCTCAACCTTTGGGAGGTCCGCGCGGAATTTTTGGGTCGGCGCTGGACCTCCCGCCACGGCATCCCCTGGCGGGCCTTCTGGCGCCGCCCCCACGGCACCAGCGGGTAGGCTCAGCGCTGACCCAAGAAATCTACACGCAGACAACCGAGGGTTTGCGCGTTATGCCGTCATACAACCAATATCCTGAAGCACGGACCGCTTGGGGCTCAGGAGGGGCTCTGGTCTTCGGACATAGAGGCCTCTTGGATGGGGTCGGAGTAGAGGGGGTCGGAGGATCGCGCCGCTTCGCCGATATATCGGCGGTGCATCGGCGATGTATCGACGATGCACCGGCGATAATCGTCGACGTCGGCGATGCATCGGCGACGTCGACGTGAAGCAAATCGGACTGCACATCGAGCCGCATCGGCGATGCGGCGCGATTCTCCGACCCCATCTGTTCCGACCCCGTCTGGGAGGCCCAGAGGACAGTTCCTCAGATCTATGTCGGGGATACTATTCTTAGGTCGGGCATGCCCCCTACAGGCGGATTTCCAACGCAACAAAAGTCAAGAAATATGAAGAAATGCAAATCAGCAAAATTCATCTCCAGAATATTGCTAGACATTTTTTTGAATATTCCTCCTGCAGAGGGACACGCCCGACTTACATCAAATCTACATCGGGGATCCTATTCGTCGCCGACGCTCGCCGTGGCCAAATCATGCCCCTTCTTCCACGCATGGTAGCACGACGGCTGCGCGCTCTGCGAACCCTCGGCCTCGAGGTGCGGCGGATCTCGGGGCTCAGAGGCAGGGCCCTGGTGCCCTCCCAGGCCATCATTCCTCGAGGGAGGAGGAGGAGGGGGGGGGGGGAGGAGGAGGAGGAGGAGGAGGAGGAGGAGGAGGAGGAGGAGGAGGAGGAGGAGGAGGAGGAGGAGGAGGAGGAGGAGGAGGAGGAGGAGGAGGAGGAGGAGGAGGAGGGGGGGGAGGAAGAGGAGGAGGAGGAGGAGGAGGAGACACCAGTGACCCAGAACGCCCTTCCCTCTGCGGCGAGGCAGTGCAGCGGCCGCCCGCGCTGCGGCCACAGCGTCTTCGTGCCCGTTCGAAGCGTGGGGAGACCAGCCGGGGGAGCAGGGGACGACGTGACCGACGGGGGAAGGCCGATGAGGACAAGCGATTAGGAGCAACACACATTTGCAGATTCCTCTTCCTATATTTTTACAAGCCCGGGGGGGGGGGGAAAACCCTCCCCCCCCAAAAAAAACTGGACCCCCGGGATCTGGGGTTCTTTTTTGGACGTCCTTGGAAAAAGGTCACTCGGCTTTCCGGGCCTCCACAAACGCCTTGCCAGCAGACCCAGAGCGATCCGAGGAATCATCAGAAAGGCCCAAGGGAGGCCCCAGACAGCACAAGAGCGCTCCAAGAGGAACTCCAAGTGCGTCAGGACGGCCCAAAAGACCCCCAAGGCACCCCAAAAAGCTTTCCAAGGGGCCTTCAAAAAACAAACATCGTCCCATTCTATTGGTAAACGTGCAATTTTAGCATATTCGCCTTTCGGGTTTCATCAGCTTTCAAGACGTTTTCAAAGCCCACGAGATCGCCTCCAGACGCCCCAAAAGGCCCCCTAGAAAGCTTCAAGACGGCCGAGCCGGGCCCCACGATCGCCCACGAGAGCCCCAAGACAGCCCATAATGGAACCAAGAGGCCCCCCAAGGGCTCCCAGCACAGACCCAAAAGGGCCATGGGAGGTCCCCGGAAGTGCCCAAGATGGGTCCAAAGGGGGCTCCAGCGGGCCCAAGCTCCCCAAGACGGCCCAAGAAGGCCCCAGGACGGCCCATGAAGGCGCCAAAACGGCCCACGAGGGCCCCGAAAACACCCCCACGATGTTTCCGAATGCCAACATTCATTGATTTTGCTCCCATGACATCTCACATTGTGACCCAGTCGTTGAGGGTCTCGTGGCATGCAGCGAAGATGCCCGAGGATGCCCCGTACGAGTTGCATATGCATGTTCATATCCTTACACACATGAATTTATATGCACATATGTACGCTATATACACATACAACAATGTAAATATGTTATATACACCTAGACATTTATACGGAACGTGCATGCGCGTGCGCGCGTATACATGCATGCGCGCATGTACGCACGCACGCATTCCGCTTGCGTGCAGAACTCAAAGGACCAAGGTGCATGGCGGGCAGCGCCAATGCGGTCTTGTATATCTTTATATATATATACACATATACATATAAATGTATATATGTATATGTGTTTATACATATACACATATATATATATATATGATTTCTCTGAGCTACGCGCAGAACGCTTGGATCGGCGCTGGACCCCAATCCCTGGCGCGTGAAACGCGCCAAGGGCGGCGCCAGAGGGTCGCCGGGGGGGCCCAGCGCCGATCCAAGAAATCCACGCGGGGCTCCGAGAAATTAAGTTTATGCCATTTTCTGTTCGCCGAGAGAAAGGATCGACGCGGCCGACCGAAGAAGGACAAGAAGGAAAAGAGGGAGTAGCGCACTGGGAGCGCACGGCTGTGGCTTTACCTGCGCCGCGCCGCTCGGCGGCGAGGGCACCTCGGCCACACGGTGCGGTTGATGGGGCCCAGGCGGACCACGTGGCCGACTTCCTGCGGACTGCGAAGGCGGCCCCCTCTCCAGCTGGGCGCCGCCATCGTCGTCGTCGTCGTCGTCGTCGTCGTCGTCGTCGTGGTCGTCGTCGTGGGTCGTCGTCGTCGGCGACGTTAACGGCCACGGCGACGGCCACGACCATAGCGAAAGCGTCAGTGTCGGCGACGCCGACGCCGACGCCGACGCCGACGCCGCCGCCGCCGTCGTCCCCTCCGCCGCCGCCGCCGCCGCCGTCGTCGTCGTCGTCGTCTTCGTTGTCGTCGTCGTCGTCGTCGTCGTCGTCGTCGCCGTCGTCGTCGTCGTCGTCGTCGTCGTCGTCGCCGCTGTCGTCGTCGTCGTCGGCCTCGGCGTCGGCGACGTTAACGGTCACGGCGACGGCGACGACCATGGCGAAAGCGTCAGTGTCGGCGACGCCGGCGCCGACGCCGACGCCGACGCCGCCGCCGCCGTCGTCCCCTCCGCCGCCGCCGCCGCCGCCGTCGTCGTCGTCGTCGTCGTCGTCGCCGCCGCTGCCGCCGCCGTCGTCGCCGCCGCCGTCGTCGTCGTCGTCGTCGTCGTCGTCGTCGTCGCTGCCGTCGTCGTCGTCGTCGTCGTAGTCGTCGTCGGCGTCGGCGACGTTAACGGCCACGGCGACGGCGACGACCATGGCGAAAGCGTCAGTGTCGGCGACGCCGACGCAGACGCCGACGCCGCCGCCGCCGTCGTCGCCTCCGCCGCCGCCGCCGCCGTCGTCGTCGTCGTCGCCGCCGTCGTCGTCGTCGCTGCCGCCGGTTCCGTCGTCGTCGGCGTCGTCGTCGTCGTCGTCATCGTCGTCGTCATCACCTCACCATCACCGTCACCACCACCATCATCATCAGCATCATCAACGTCATCAGTATTATCTTCATCTTCACCTTATATGAATTTTCATGCATGGTTTTTATCTTCTTCGTCATGACCATCATAACAATCTTCATCAGCATAGTCATACTCACCATCACCACCACCATCATAATCAGCATCGTCATCATCATCATCGCCACTACCATCATCACCATCACCATCACCATCACCATCACTATCATCACTATCATCACTATCATCATGGTCATCATGATCATCATGATCATTCCTATCAACATCATCATCGTCATCACCACAATCACAATCATCATCACAATCATCATAGACATCACCAGTATCACCATCATCATCATGATCGTGACCATCATGATCATCATGATCATCATGATCATGAGCATGATCATGATCATCATCGACGTCTGCAGCGGCTCCTCCATCGGCAGCCATACGGAGTTCTCTGGGAACCCCCGCAGGTCCAAGGGCGACTGCTCCCCCGGACGGCCGCACCGGCTGTCGGGCAGCTCGGCCCAAGCCTCCTCGCGAGGGGCGGCGGGGGGATGCATTCTACCGGGCAGTCGTCGTCGTCCCCTGACATCCTCGCGTCGTTGACATCAATCGCGACGGAGACAGTTTGGCCGCCTTCGGCCTCCAAGGGGCCTCCCTCCCTGCCCGGCCCCGCGGGACAGGCGAGACACGGCCAGGATGAGGAGCAGGTCCCAGGGGAGGGGTCACAACCTCTGGGGGGCCACGCTGCACAAAACACGGCGTCCGATGTTGAGCCCGCGGACCCTGAGCTCCAAAAGGCCGCGCTGCTCGTCGTCCTCCTAGTCGCCCTCCTCCTCGGGGAGGAAAGGAAAAATAATCGACGAGACAGTGGGTCGTCGTCGTCGTCGGCGTCGTCCGTAACCTCCTCCTCTTCTTCTTCCTCCTCCTCCTTGACCGCCCTCATGTTGGCGAGGCGGAAGGAAGCACCATCTCAGCTGTTCGTCCCCGCGTTCTCTTTCCCCTCTCCCACGCCGTGTGCTGCATCCCGAAGCCGGTCGACCACCAGTGTCCCCACCCCTCCTCCTCTTCTTCCTCCTCCTCCTCCTCCTCCTCCGCCCTCCTCCGCCCTCCTCCTCCTCCGCCCTTCGCCTCCTCCTTCTCCTCCTCCTCCTCCTCCTCCTCCTCCTCCCTCCTCCTCAAGGTTCCTCGCGAGTTTCGGAGTGGGGATCGACCAGACGGTAGTGGGGCCTAGGGAGGTACTTGCCAGACATCCACCGTCGCGCTTCCGCTCGCTGCGTGGCTCCACGCAGCATGGGCCCGCCTCCCAGGACGGCTCTCCATCCCGAACCGTGTTCTGACGGCCCTGGGTCCCAGCAGGGGCCGCCAGAAACCGAAAACTGCCTCTCCCCCCCGACGTGATTTCCTCGGGCCCTTTTAGGGCCTTTTTCTTCACCCCCCACTCGGGTCCCCCCCCATTACCATCCGCCCGACTCAATCATGGCCGGCGGCATGTGCGCGGTCCAAGGGGGGCCGGGAACGTATTGAAACAAGAAGAGGCGCCATGAAATCCGAGGAGATATCATGGCCCCCACCATGATATGAGAGAGCGTGATCCACCGCCGCTTTACTGTGGAAGATTGCCCCCCTCTTCCTCCGGAACCCGGGGGTCCCCCCCCCCCTCCGAAATTCCCCCCCCCCATCCCCTCACCCGGACGCCCCCCCTCCCCTAACCCCTCCCCCTCCCCCCCCTCCCCCTCGAAAACCGGGGGGGGTCACTACCGGTTCGAACTCCCCCCCTCGAAAACCGGAGGAGGGGTCACTACCGGTTCGAAGCCCTCCCCACCCCCCCCACTCACCGCCAGCAAACGACTTCTGGTCCCTTCCACCGTCCGCGCCACATCCCCCACTGTTGTTCCCAGCACCACTGTCCTCCACCACTGTCCCCACTGGTTCCACCACCGTCCTTGCTGTCCCCACCAGTGCTCCCACCACTGTCGCACCGTCCCCACTGTACCCACCACTGTTCCCACCAGGGTTCCACTCTCCCCACTTTCTCCACGGCCCCAACCACTGCCCGACTATCCCCACTGTCCCCACTTTCCCACTGACTCCTCCGCTGTCCCACTGAGCTGTCCCACTGTTCCCACCACTGTCCCCACCACTGTCCCCACTGTACCTCTGTCCCATTGTCCCACCGCCGTCCTCGCCACCGCCTTCACCACTGTCCCCACCACCACTGTACCCTCCACTGTCCCACTGTTTCCACCCCCCTGTCCCCACACCACTGTCCCCACCACCGTCCCCACCACTGTCCCACTGTCCCCCACTGTCCCCACTGTCCTCCCATCCCACCACTAGTCCCCACCACTGTCCCACTGTCCCCACCACTGTCCCGCTGTCCCCTCACCACTGTCCCCACCACCACCGTCCCCACCACTGTCCGCACCCCCCCTCGGCTTTCGAGGAGGGGGGGGGGGGTGGTTCGAACCGGTAGTGACCCCCTCCGGTTTTCGAGGGGGGGGGGGGGCGGGTTCGAACCGGTAGTGACCCCCCCCCCCTTTTCATGATGAACCGGGGGGGGGGGGGAGGGGCTCGAACCGGTAGTGACCCCCCTCGGTTTTCCGGAGGGGGGGGGGGAGGGGTTCGAACTGGTAGTGACCCCCCCCCGGTTTTCCGCCAGCAGCGGTAGAACACGCTCTTTCCATGATATCCACCTTCCCCTAGTCATCACCACCCTCTTTTAGGGGGTGGAAAGAACCCCCTTTCGTAAAACGTGGTTTAGTGAACACGACCTCGGGCCCAAACCTGGCGGGCGCAAGCCTGGAAAACGACGGCCGCGGCGCCCTCTCGAGAACCGAAAACGGACAATTCACTAATGGACGTGTCAGGGTGGGGGTTCTGTCCACCCCCGATTTCTGTGCCACGAAGCAGGGAACGGCGGCAGGCTCGTGCGGTGACGACCGACTTCGGCGCTGGTGTCCGACACCGCGCGTGTCGTTCCGCCCTCGGCGAGCGCGGCCCCCTGGTAATGAGCACAGAGCTCGTGGGACGTCGGCCGATTCTGGGCCGCCGCCGGCGCTCTCCACCTCGGAGCGCCTGCGCGTGCCAGGCACGAGCGTGCCGAGCGCAGGGGGGGAGCTGGCTGCTCGTGGCCGCCCTCTGGGCCTCCTGGGGGCGCTCTCGGGCCTGCGCAGCCTGACTAGGGAAACATGAACAATGACATAAACATAAAAACTCGGATGTCCGCGCGGATTTCTCGGATCGGCGATGGACCCCCCTCCTTGGCGCGCGGAGCGCGCCAGGGGCGGCGCCGGAGGCGCCGCCAGGGGGCTCCAGCGCCGATCCGAGAAATCCGCACGGACCTCCGAGTTTTTATGTTTATGCCATTGTTTGTTTCCCTACTGATACCCGAAACGACAGCCTCCCGGTCAGGGCGCGCTCCAAGAGCGAGATCTGGAGTTCGGAGGCAGCTCATCATGTCGCCTTGGGAACGTCTGAGGGCGACCAAGCCGACTTGGGGCCTTTGAAACTGCCTCCAAGCCAGATTGGGCAAGATTGAGCTTAGGACTTAGGAGCAGGCCAGAACGAGGCGGATTCAGCGGGACAGAGCGGCCTGAAACGGGATTATGCTGGATTAGGGTAGTTGTCGACCGTGGTCATCTGAATTCAACTTCCTACGACTTGCGTCTTAGTGGTAGAGGCCTCCCAGATGAGTTCAGAGAGGATGAGGTCGGACGGTCGCGCTACATCGTCGACGCATCACCGATGCGCCGGCGATGCTGGCGTTGCATCGTCGACGTCGGCCTGTATCGGGCTCCACATCGAGCGCATCGCCGATGCTTCGGCGATGCTTCGGCGATGCGGCGCGAACCTGCGACACATCCACTCTGACCCCACATAGAGTGGACAAGCGGAACTCGGCCAGGCCGAACTCGGCCCCGGCCGAGCTCAGCCTGGCCGAGCTCAGCCTGGCCGAGATCATTCGGCCGAGCTCGGCCTGGCCGAGTTCAGCCTGGCCGAGCTCAGCCTGGCCGAGCTCAGTCTGGCCGAGTTCGGCTGCTGCTCTCTGGGAGGCCCCGAGCCTCCCAGGGGCAGGGCCGACCAGACGGGAGGGCGAAGCGCCTCCTCGCGAGAAATCGTTCGCTGTCCGCGGCCCTCGGCGGAGCTCTGCGCGGAGTCCATGGGGGCCCGCCTCGCTGGGCTCTGTGGGGCCACCACGGAGCGCCCCCCGGGGGGGGGACAGAAACGCCTCCGAGGAGTGGTCCAGAGCTCCGGAGACCCCATAGCGAACAAACACACGAAATCGGAGGTATGGGCCGTCGTCGTCGTCGTCCTCCTCCTCCTCCTCCTCCTTCTCCTGCGTTCTCGTCCCTCTCCGTCCCCCTCCGTCCTCCTTCCTCCCTCCATCTCCACCTTCCTCCCTCCACCTCCCTCCTCTCTGGGCGGCAGGCCGTTCCCGGTGCAGAACGTGCAAGTCTCGTTGAGAGCTTGGCGACTTGAGTGCTGTCCCTCGACCCGCGCTGGAGCGTCCACGATTTGATGGGGCTTCCCTGGGGATCGCTGGATTTACGTCGCCTTGTCTGGATTCACCTGAATCTATCTGGAGTTGCCCCGATTCGCCTGGCTTCGTTCTGCCTTTCGGACGCCTCATGTCACGTACTATGACAGGTCAACAATCACGAAGCACTGTTAAAGCACGAAGTCCAGCTAAATCAGCCGAACACGCACGTTTGGCAAGATTGGATGGGCAAGTGCGTTGGGTGAGGTAAGCGGCGCAGGTGAGCTGGCTTGATCCCCACAAGCAGATCGGATAAAAATTGTGCAGTCCTACTGGGAATGGGAAGCCCCTCCCTATCCTCACCGCGCCACTTGGACGCCCCCCTCCGCTAGAGGCCTCCCAGATGGGGTCAGAGTAGATGAGGTCAGCGGATCTAGCCGCATCGCCGATTTATCTGCGATGCATCGGCGACGCCGGCGCGGAAAACATCGGGGTCCACATCGAGCCGCATCGCCGATGCATCGGAGATGCGGCGCGATTCTCCGACCCAATCTATTCCGACCCCATCTGTCCCGGACGTCACCGTCTCGTTCGGAGGCAGGCCACCGTCTCGTCCTCCCCATCCTCCTGGACGCCCCTTCCTCCAAAGAAACCAGAAGGCACCGATACTGCTACTCCCCGGACCTCTCCCGGGGTGCGTTCTGACTCGAATTTCGGGGCGAATCCAGCGGTGGCCACGAGGGCCTCTCAGGAGGCCCAAAAAGGCACGAACGAAAGAAGGGTACGTAGCGGTATCGGTATCTTTTCCTCCTCTGACCCCAGTTCTCTTCGAGAGTGAGAGGCAAGATGGGTGGCCTCCCCTCCCCCTCCTCCCCCTCCTCCCCGTCTCCTCTTCCCCTCCTCCCAAGATTCGACCCCATCAGCGAGGCCAATATCCTCCGCAGCCTCCAAGCTCCCTCGGGCGAGTGGTAATGGGGGGTGGCCCACATGGGGGGTGAAGAAAAGAGCCCTAAGGGGACACTTTAGTCAGGGCTCCTTTCGGGCTCCAAAAGAGGCTTTAAAGTGCTCCCTTAGGGCTCTTTTCTTCAACCCCCATGTGGGTCACCCCCCATTGCCACCCGCCCGACTCAACCATGGCCCGCGGCATGCGCGCGGTCCAGGGGGGGGGACCGGGGACGTATCGAAACAAGAAGAGGCGCCATGGAAATCCGGGGAGATATCGTGGCCCCACCATGCTGTCCACCTCCCCCTACGTATAGCCCCATCTTTGCCGCCCCCGACTTAGGGCGACGAGATCTATGCATATCCACTGCTCCCGGCCAGGCCCATCCTGGGCCCAGGAGCGGTGTATATGCCTCCCTGGCCAAGCCAGGAGGGCGTATACACAGCTCTTGGGCCCAGGATTGGCCTGGCCGGGAGCAGTGGATATGCATAGATCTCGTCGCCCTACCGACTCCAACCTCCCTCCGGAGCGTGCCGGGGCGCCTGGTCCCGGTAGTTCCAGTCCGGCTCGTCGGGCCCGGGCTCGTCCATGGGAGGCGCACGGCCGAGCGCAGGGCGCGCGGGGGGGGGGAGGCGGATGGGAAGGGCGAGGGGGACGAGCGGAGGAGGACGTCCTCCTCCTCCCTCCTCCTCCTCCTCCTCCTCCTCCTCCTCCTCTTTCTCCTCCTCCTCCTCCTCCTCCTCCCTCCTCCTCCTCCTCCTCCTCCTCCTCCTTCTACTCCCCTTCGTTCTACCCGGAAGGGGAGAAAGAGGAGGAGAGAGAAGGGCGGAGGAGGAGGAGGAGGAGGAGGAGGAGGAGGAGGAGGAGGAGGAGGAGGAGGAGGAGGAGGAGGGAGGACGGAGGAGGGAGGAGGAGGACGAGCGGGGGAGGAGGGAGGGACTATAGGGCTATAGGGATAGAAGGCTATAGGGTTATAGGGCTATTGGGCTATAAGACTGTAAAGCTATAGGGCTATAGGGCTATATGGCTATACGGCCATAGGGCTATTAGGGCCACATGGGCTATAAAGGGCTATAGGGCTATAAGGCTACAAGGCACAATTACCACAAGGTTATAAGGCTATAGGGCTACCGGGCACCTGGGCACCCGGGCGTGCCACCGAAATCGGTGCCAAACCTTACCTAATTATCTGAATCCGCTAGGATCCCTACAGAGGCAAGCTCTGATGGGGAAAATACGAATACGACCACCACTAGCCTAATATTACATATACTACCGCTACCACTACGCCAATACCTGTTCATACTAAAGCCGCTACTTCCGGAACGAGATACAGTCTGAAAACAAGAGGGATACAAGAGAATAAGACAACAAAGCAAATACTTAGGAAGGAATTTGAATGCAATATGAATACAATAGGAGTACCACGCTGAGGAATCCTCAGGAATGCCGAGGAAGCTTGATGAACCCTGCGTGCCAAGCGGATTCCGAACAAGCGGTTCCACGGTGGGCGCTTCGACACATGTCCCAAGAGATCGTTGACACCATTAACGCGACGCCACGAAGGGCCATATTGGAGTCAAGTATGAACACAATATGATTTCGACAGGGAGGCGTCGCATTGGATTCCAATCACATTTCAATAGGATTGCGATAAGATCTCAATAGGAAGGAATCCGGTTGGATCCTGATAGAATCCAACGGGAACCAAAACCGGTGCCAATGGGAAAGAACTTTATCGGATTCGATTAGGATTCCAATAAGATGTCCGTGGGATTTTATGGTATTCCCATCGGGGTACACTGGGATTCCAACAGGACCCCCCAAGAGCGCCAATTGGAAGGAATCCTATGGATGATTCGGTTAGGAACGAGATTGAATTCGAACTGAAAGAAGATCCCGAATACGACAGAATCAGAATTGTTTGGAAGAGCTTGTTTCCCGGTAGCATTCCCTCGAACGTGCACACAGGAGTCAGCGACTTCCCTTAAGGCAACCCATGGAGGTTTCATGGCTCTTGGAATGTCGTTGGAATGCTGATCCGTGCAACTCTCCTTTGGAAACCTCCTGCCGGGGAACGACCCCTTCGCAACTGTTTCACCTTCCACCGGGGAGCCATCCCTTTCACCGGGGATCCAACCCTGCCACCGAGAGCAATCCTCTTGCCTAGCGGTGCCCCCCCTGGTAATTGGAACATATCTCGGCTCTCGGGCGGCCGTTTGGAACGATTCGGGCACCCCGGGAACGCTCTCGGCGAGGTGCGGCCGACGGAGGGAACCTCGAGGCTGGAACACCGACGAGCCTCGAACCTCCAAGGAGGGAGAAGGGGGATGATGATGATGCTGCTGATGATGAGGATGATGATGAAGATGATGTTGCTTATGGTGGTGGTATTGATGGTGCCGCTGGTGATGACGACGGTGAGGCTGGTGATGTTGATTGTGGTGACGATGATGGCGATGGTGATGATGACGATGCTGATGATGCTACTGCTGATGATTGTGTTCATGATGGGTACGATGGTGCTGATGCTGATGCTGGTGATGATGACGATGACGATGACGATGACGACTGTGAACAATGATGATGGTGATGATGATGCTGATGATGCTACTGACGACTACGATGGCGATGATGATAATGATGGTGTTGATGGTTAAGATGATGATGCTGATGGTGATGGTGATGGTGATGGTGATGATGATGATGATGATGATGATGATGATGATGATGATGATGCCGATGATGCTGGTTTTGATGACGACGACGGCGCTGACGCGTATGATGATGATGATGATGATGACAATGATGATGCTGATGACGATGACGATGCAGCTGCTGATGTTGATGAGGACGACGACAATGATGATTGTGATAATGGTGGTGGTGATGGTGCTGATGGTGATGCTGCTGATGATGGTGGTGATAATGATGGTGGTAGTGGTGATGATGGTGATGCGGAGGAGGAAGAATAGAAAGAGAAGGAGAAGGAGGAGAAGGAGGAAGGGGAGGAGGAGGGGGAGGGAGAGGCGCGCCGGGGGGCGCGCGACGCCGAGCCGCGGGGGGTGGCCGCCTTGTTCGCGGCGGCCACGGGCGCCCTTCCGGCGTGGAGAGAGGGCGGCTTCTGGGAGCGCCGTATTGAACTCCGCCGATCCTATCGGCGTGTGGAAGACGCTCTTCCGATGGCCGCTGTCGTCGTCGTCGTCGTCGTCGTCGTCGTCTCCTCGAACTCGCAGTCTGGCTTTGCACGTCGCCAAGCTTGGACGCGTCGGCCACCGCCACTGTCGCTGTCGCCGTCACCCGAGTCGGTGGCCCTGACGAGGGGGTGACGGCGGCAGTGGCAGTGCCGAAACCGTCCAGAGTCCAGCAAGGCATGAGGGTGCAAACACGAATTGTCTGGCTGATGTTCTGGGGGGGGGGCTGTGCTCAGGGGAGGTTGCAGCACCGCTTAAGGATGTCAACCAAACCTGCAGGGTGGGCCCCGGTGGGCCCTCTCCATTTCTTTGTGCACTTCAGCTTTGGCTGCGGCTTCAGCTGCCAATGCACCGACAAGCGACTTCGGGACAACTTGCCCGAGTCGGATTTTCCGCTCGCGCGGGTGCTCCCCCCCTCCTCGTCGTCTCCGTCGTCGTCTCCGTCAATAGTCGTCTCCGTTGTCCCCCGTCTCCTTGCCCTGGGCCCTCCTCCTTCAGCGCGCCAGCCAACGCGATATTGAGCAACGTCGTAGCTGAGTCGAAGGGAACTCCCATCCCTTTGATACCTTCCCCGCCAAGGGCGGGGGTGGTGTCCCAGGGGGTAGGTTCTAGTTGATGGGGCCCCACCCAAGTACGCATCCCGCCCCGGGTGGTTCTGGGTCCCAGAACAGGCCCAAGACGCGGCAAGACCGCCTGCTCCAAGAGGCCCCAAAAATGGTCCTCGAGGGCCCCAAATCGCGCCTCCAAGAACACTCCCAAGAGGGGGCCAAGGGGCAACAATCACCCGTTTTCCTGATAATTTTTGAGATTTTGTCGTTCTCGCCTCGTCGGCTTCCCGACTCTCCAAGACCGCTCAAGAGGCCCCCAAGATCGCACAAGAGGCCTCCAAGAGGGCACCCAAACTACCCAAGAGGGCCCCAAGACCGCCGAAGAGGCCTCCAAGACAACCCAAGAGGCCTCCAAAAAGGCTCCAAGAGGGAACGCAGACGGGGGACCCGAACGGACATTTCGAGCCCTTGGCGAGTCTCCCAGGAGGCTCCCCAAGATGCCCCCAAGAGACCCCCAGGAAACCCCAAGGGGTCCACACGAGGCCCCCAAGAGCCCCCCAAGAGCCTCCCCAGAGGCCCGAAAACTACCCCCAAGAGGCCCCTGAGAGGGCTCGTCGTCATCGTCGTCGTCGTCGCCGTCGTCGTTCAGGTCGGCGGCACCAGCCGTAAGGCGTGTCGAATACATCGGAGAACCTCAGGGGGGGGGGGAGCATGTGAAGCGTCGTGCACGTGCAGAGGCACGGGGGAGGCCGAGACCCGCCCTCCTCCTCCTCCTCCTCCTCGTCCTCCTCCTCCTCCTCTTCCTCCTCCTCCTCCTCCTCCTCCTCCTCTTCCTCCTCCTCCCCTTCCTCCCTCCTCCTCTCCTCCTCCTTGTCCTCCTCCTCTCCTCCTCCTCCTCCTCCTCCTCCTCCTCCTCCTCCTCCTCCTCCCCCTCCCCCTCCCCAACTCGTCGTCGTCGTCGTCGTCGTCGTCATCCTCCTCCTCCTCCTCCCTTCCTCGCCCGTCCTATCCTCATTCATCTCCTCTTCCTCCTCCGCCTCTTCCTTCTCTCCTCCTCCTCCTCCTCCTCCTCCTCCTCCTCCTCATTCCTTTCTCGTCCTCGTCCTCGTCCTCGTCCTCCTCCTCCTACTCCTCCTCCTCTTTCTCCTCCTCCCTTTCCTCCTCCTCCTCCTCCTTGTTTTCCTCCTCCTCCTCCTCCTCCCCCTCATCTTCTTCTTTCTGCCCTACTCCTCTTCCTCCTCCTCCTCCTCCTCATCCTCCCCCTCCTTTTCTTCTGCCTCTTCCTCCTCCTCCTCCTCCTCCTCCTCTTCCCCCTCCTGTACCTCCTCGTCCTCTTCCTCCTCCTCCTCCCTCTTCCCTGCTCCCTCCTCCGTCCTTCATCTCCCTCGTCCCTTCTCCCCTCCCCCTTCACTAAATTTAACTCAACTGAACTCAAGTCACCGGCGTCGTTTGGGCCAACCTCCCGGGCCAGGAAGGGGCAACGTGCAGTGTCCCAGATGGACTGCCCAGCAAAGGGGGTGGCTGCCCATGGAGGGGGGGGGCATCGAGCCGAAATCCGCGATCCCTTGCAGATGAATCGACGTTAGGAGACCGATCGCAAATCCGCACGCTACTGGGCGGGGCGGGCAATCGGGCCCCTACCGGCGATCAGTGGGCGATGAAGGGTCGATGCGCCCCCCCTGGGTCTACCCCCCTCTAAGGATGCCCCTGGGTGCGGCGGCGGGGCATCGTTGAGGGCTTGACGATTCCTACTCTCTCTAGACTCGCGTCGGAGCTTCCGCGATCTGCTCTGGGCTTCCCCAGGACATCTCTGTATATATCTCGATATGTCTGTATTTGCCCCGATGTGTGGATCAAACTAAATTTATCTGGCGTGATCCCTGCAAGTCGATTGGGGAAAAGTCGTTTAGGCGCTAGGAGAGGGCACGGGGCGGTGGAGGCTCTGCCGCTGCGGCGGCGAGGGAGAGGGAGAGGAGGAAGGCGTTGATACTTCTCTCCGGGCGTGGAGGCTCTCGCCCCCCTCGCCACCTCCTCCTCCTCCTGTCCTCCTTCCTCGTCCTCCTCGTTTGTTCCTCCTGATGCGAGTTCCAGGTGAAGGCGCGGGCGGTCATGGGCGTGGGCCGCCTGTCGCCCGCGGACTTCGCTCGCCGGCCCGACCAAAGCGTCCAGCTGTGCAACCTCTGCCGCGTGGCCGAGGAGGGCCTCGCGCGGCCGTTGCAGGTCGCGTGCGTGCTGGGGCGCCTGCTCGGCAAGAGGTCGGGCGGAGACCGCTGCGTCGGGCTTTTGCCAGTGTTTTGCCGCGTGTGGTCGATGGCCAGAGAGAGCCCCGTTCGCGACTGGGTCTCGGATCGGGACTACTCGGGCGCGGCCATGGCGGGCAGCGGCGCCCTGAGAGAGGCGTTCATCAGGGCGCTCGCGGACGAGGTGCAATCCTCGCTGCGCCTGCCTCGCGGGCAAGCACTTCTGAGCGTGGAGGCCTTCCGCGACGGGTTCGAGATGTCCGCGCTGGCCTCCTGCGTGCTCGAGAAGGGCTTCCCGCCCACGGTGCTCTTCCAGGAAGTTCGAATGCTCTTGGCACCTCGTCTCCTGGCGCAGCTGGAGTCGGTGTCCAAGTCGTTGCAGACCTCCGAGTCCATGGTCCAGGGCGCAGGGCAAGGCGCGAGGCTCGCCGAGTGCCTCGCAGCCTCCGCGTGCAAGAAGCCCCCGGGTCGTTCGCCCGTCGATTTCGGAAGGGATCTGGGCCGGCGATCCTTCGGAGAAGGTGGTTGGTTCGAAGCTGCGCGTGAGGCATGCGCTAGTGGGGGCCGTCATGCGTGCAGTGCGTGAGCTTCGGAAGCGAAAGTTCAACCTCGCCCCGAAAAGCGCGGGTGCGTGTGCGTGCCGCAGCGACGCGCTGCGCGTCGCCAAGAAGCTCGAGCCCAACGGTGCGGTGGTCAAGGCGGCGCGGTAGGCGTCGCCTCGGCGTCGACGGGCGCGGGCAAACCAAGGGCGCCGCGAGAAAGCGCGTGGCCGAGGCCGGCCAGTCGCGAGCGCGCCTGCGTCGCTTCGCCCGCGCGGCGCGACGCTGGCGCGCTGCGGCGCAGATCCGACGTGCAGGTCCGCAGGCGGCCGCGGCCTACGGACATCAAGTACGCGGGTGTTTTGGTTCAGTTCTGCTGGCGCACGGGCGCCGCCTGGGCGCCGCGGCAGCTCCGGCAAGACTAGAGAGAGAGAGCGGGGCGCCTCGCCACCTTGCGGTCGCCCCGCCTGCCTGGAACCGATCCCGCCGTCGCCCTGCCGCGCCTTTGTCTTCAGCGATGGTTTGCAGCCTGGCTCGGGGGTCCAGCTCTGCGCAAGTCCATCACCGAGGCTTGGCCTGCTGCTGTCCAGAGCCTTACGGAGATTCCCGAGGGACAGAGGGGCAGGCGCGTGAGAGGCCCCATGTCGTCGGTCATCCTCTACCCACTGCAAGCGGAGTTGTCGCCGATTTCAGCGACATCGTGGCAAGTGCCGAGTGATGGGACATGTGACACTCACACGTGCGAGTTTTGCGAGGAGTCGTTCACAGGCCTGGACTAGGCGCAACCACTGCTGGGTGAGTTCGTGGCCACGCTCAATGCTCAGTAATGGAAGGAATCGGCCAGCCAGTACTGCGGTGCGGGTTTCGAAGGCGGCGCGGAGCTTCGGAGCTACGGGCAGTGAATCGCGTCTTTGTTGCAGGCCTCGCGTGGTCGCCAGCTGTCGGAGCTCATGATGACAATCGCCACAGGTGCGTTCTGGACGCAGCAGCGGTGTGGAAACTCCACCGACACGCCAGTGCAGAGGTGCTGGACACGCAACAAAAATCGTGACTCGCCTGCCCTCGTTCAGTCTGATGAATTCGTCTCAGAGGCTGTCGCCGAGCAGGACACTTTCCTAGATTTTTGGATGCGAGGGGTGATCCCCGCGGCCTGAGCGGCTGTGGATGCACCCATTTCCTCTGCGATCTTACAAGGAGCCTCTCTGGTTGGGGGGCCGTGGGCCCTGGTTGCCTTGGGAACGGGTCGGCCGCCGACCCTGTCTTCATTTTTGGGAACGCCTCGGGGGGGAAAGATGCCCGCGACCCGAAACTGAGGAGGGTCGGACTGGCTATCGTCGCTTTCCGCTCTTTCTCTCCTCGCGTGCTAGGGCCCCACCTTTTCGGGCCCCTCCCTGGCCCATCTCAGACGGTGCCTCGGGGCGAACTTTTAGGATTCGAATGGTCCATGCGTTTCACGTCCGGGTGGCTCGTTTACGTGACCGATTGTGCTGAAAAGCTCGAGGATGCTACCACCGAGTTTTCGTTGCCCCCGATGGGCCGCAAGCAAGCGTCTGGCGCTCCATCGGCAGTCTGCTCGCGAGTCAGTCCCGCCCAGAATATCATATC